GTCCTAAAAATGTATTAAAGCAAGCCAATTAAAATATAGATAGATTCGGTTTTTCCTTTGTTTTTCACAAATTTTCATCCCATCAACAATTTAGTTACGAAGCACAAGTTCAGGATCAACCAAAATTAATAAACTTGTACTTCATAATTATTTCAATGAAAGAAAAAAATATCAGCTGAAGGAATGAAAGAAGTTGCACATTTAAAGCCGCCTTGTGGTTAGTGGAGTTTATCATGAACAGCAAAGGAAAAAAAACACATTCAGTGGAACATATTTATTATTTTTGTAGAATTATGTAAATTAGCTTTACCGTTCAGATTCTATTCTCAGAACATATGGATCAATGGTCTCTTGAGTTCATCTAAAATCACCCAATGACTCGTGAAGCATGAGGAACTTTAACTTATTGAAAAATGAAACCAGCACAACTGATTACACAGCTAAGCTGTTGCTGTTTATTCATAAAACTGTACTGAAAGTGAACCGATTGGTTTGTTTTGTGTTTGTTTCYGTTTGAAGTGTTTACCAGCCCAGTGGAACAAAAACTGCTGGCATTTGTGGCGGCTGAGGTTGAGAAAGACCTATGATGTTTTCATTACACAGAGAGACTCTGTGAGAAGATTAACATCATGAATGAACTCAAGTTTTCTTCAATGAGTCAAAAAGGGGTTTACCATCTACTTTAGGTGATTTGTTTTTACATTTTAACAACAATGTTGGTTGAAGAAACTGTCCATCAAACCAAAATATAACTTTMAAAATAAAATCGAAATTCTGTTATAAGGACCCTGCAAAACAAACTGCAAATACTTAGCATGATACTTGAATTACATTTTAAATGGTGGTGACTCTTTGAGCTTTATTCTGCAAATGAAATGGGATTTTAATTAATTTTCTATAAATAAATTTACAAATCTACGCCTGCATTAATTTTGTAACTTTATTGTGACTAGGTTTTATGTATGTTCTTTTGGTCATAAATATATTGCATGTTTGGGAAAACAACAAATTTGCAGTTGGAATGGGATAATGCATCTTTGCTGCCACCAAGTGGGCAATTAGACTAATAACGCGTACAGCTGTAATAAAAGAAAAAAAACGAGCTTAAGTTTAAAAAATGAATAAGTTAAACCTATTTTGKTTAAACCTTGAAAGTAAAATTATGTGCAATCTTGAGCAAAACTCAGCAAGTGTTGTGAATGACTTTCAGCTTTTATCACATCATATTTTGGGTCAATGACTGCATTAMAGTCATTTTGTGTTGTCTAGTGGCAACCATCATAAAGTGGATTGACTCCAAACGTTAATCATTTGTAGATGTACATCCAAATACGTTCAGTGGTCTATCAGATATTTTGCTAACAGGCTTAATGAGTTTTAAGCAAAGTGGCACCACACCTAATTTGACCTCAACTGTCTGAATTATAGCAGGGTTTTTTTCAGTCGGATAAAGGAGCCATTGAAACAAAATTAATTAAAGGGTATTAAATTAAAAATTAATTAAAGGGTATTGGATTTGCAAAACTTCATGAGTTTTGAAGCAGTGAACGCGCACGCTCACTCACCGGCTGATTGAAGTTCCCGCGCGCCCAGGTGTTTTGAAACAGCTCTAATCACCCGCACCTGCGCTTTATTTCCAGCGTCTTCGGGGCCCAGTGTGCTCCGAACGTGCCTGAGAATGGACCGCAACCTGCTGCGAGCCGTGTCTTGTTGGCTTGTCGTCCTTTGTTCCGTTTCCATCCCCGCGGAGAGTCGCCTGCTTCACGACCGGAGCGTCAGCCCCTCGGACCCCCAGAGTTCGCCCCGCGTGGCGCACGGTGACGTGCAGCCTCGGCTGTCCGAGACCAGGCGGCAAGAGAGCGCGGAGCTCGACGTTCGGCCCCGACCCGTCGTGGTCAAGTGTCACCCGGACTCGATGGAGGTTGTGATGCAGGCTGACCTGTTTGACGCCGGCCTGAAGGTGGACGGGGGTCACCTGCGGCTGGGTCTTGAGCCTTTAAGCGGGTGCGAGGCGGTCCCGTCGGGAGCGGAGGAACTCACCATCCTGGCCCGCCTGACAGACTGTGGAACCAAACTCTCTGTAAGCTCGACTCTGATGCAGCTGTGGCTGATGATCTTTGTAACTTAAAATATTCCCCCCCCCCCCTTTTTTTAGTCAACAGAGGAGAAAATAATCTATTCCAATGTTCTGTACTACTTGCCTGAACCCAGTTTGTATGATGGGCTGCTCAGACTGGATGAGGCAGCCATTCCAGTTGAATGCCATTATGAAAAGTAAGTTTGGTTAATTTTAAAATAACCCTGACATTTAATATATTAACTGTTACATGTTTATTTTTGTTTTTTAGGAGGTATTCATTGGATGGTGTCTCCTTGCTTCCTGCCTGGGTTCCTTTCGTCTCCATAACTTCTGCAAATGACCAGATCGACTTCAATCTACGAATCATGACTGGTAGCGAGCCTCACCCACCTTTCCTGCCACCCAGTACAGAGGAGTCTTAAACTGGTATTCCTATTTTCTTTGCAGATGACTGGCAGTCTGAAAGGGGATCCCATTCCTTTTTCCTGGGTGATCCCATTCATTTTGAAGTCTCTGTTGTCATGGGCAATCACATGCCCCTGAGAGTCTATGCTGACCACTGTGTCGCCACAGCCACTCCTGATGCTGACTCTACTTCCAGATATGACTTTATTGAGCATCATGGGTGAGCTTGAATCTAACTGCCCCGATTCAACATTACGATGTGGATATGTTGAGAAATTGAACGTTTGAAAAATGTTCTCTTCCAGGTGTCTTGTTGATGCGCTCCTGACAAACTCGATCTCTCGCTTCTTGCCAAGAGTTGAAGAGCACAAGCTGAGGTTCCAGCTAGAGGCTTTCAAGTTCTACCAGGAGCCCAGCAACCAGGTTTAAGCAGTTTTTGAAGCCAGTTGCTTTCAAATGTGTACATGCATGTCTTCTGATGTTAAAAAATGTATTCAWTATATGCAAAACAGTTATGTGCATTTAAAGATTCCCAGGTTTTTGTAGTTGTGTTTGACCAGTGTTTTTTCCCACAGGTTTATATAACCTGTCTTGTAAAAGCTGGTCCAGTCATGCTGGCTGTCAGTCCTCAAAACCGGGCCTGCTCTTTCATAAAGGACAGGTAACTTAAAAAGCAAGTTTTATTAGCTTTTAGTACTTAATTTAAACAAGTGTACCAATTTTAGTTATATTCTAATGTAGTGTTTGCATTTTAATTACACCACAGTGCAATGCAGTTTAAAAAAATTTCCCTCCTTATTCAGATGGCTGTCGGTAGATGGAACCAACCAGGTGTGTAGAAGCTGCGACACCAGCCAAGAGATCGAGGAACCGCAAASTACAAATCCACTCAATACTGAAGCTTGGGCCCCCAGGACCCCACAAGAAGGTTCAGTCAAGAGTAAAGCGGAACATCCTTCAGCTACCTATATCCGTCATCAGGGAATGCACATAAATCCCCAACAATTTCATAAATTTATGAAAAGRGACGCAGACCACAAGGATCGTGAGTACAGTGATTTTAAAATCACTAGTCCAGTTTTATAATTTTTTTTACTGATGCTTAAAAGCACTTCGAATTTATGAAACTATACTGGGCACTTTTTAAACTAAACTTTTTTTTTTCCTCCCCAGAGAAAACTATCCACATGGGACCAATAATTGTTCTGCCATCCAAAAACTCAAAATCAACTGAATCCAAAGCTGCACTTTCAGAAAACAAGACCTCCAGAGACTAAATTCTTGAATGGAATAATTGTTTCACTGCCTAAGGACAAATGTTTTGAATAAAGCTTAAACTAAAGCAGAGATTTCTCGTYCCTCACAAATGCCTTGTAATAAAACTCTTATCCTCTAAACCTTGTCRTCTTTGCTAATCAGATGGCTGACAATTTTCTGATTATTTTTTGAGGAAAAAATTACACTTCAGAGACATTCACCACTTTTATCCATTGACTATTGCTCCAGATGGCATTGTGTGTCTTCAGTAAACACTTGATTCAGCACTGAATGTCAGGCTTGTAGACTCATTAAAAATGCTGGTGGATGTCAAATGTCTGTAAATCAAATGATGCACCCCTCACAGTTGTAAGAATTCATACTGTAACATGACACCAGCTCTTGTCTGTTGTGTAGACATGCTATTAAGGACCACTTCCTTCCATTACTGCCCACAACCCAATCATGTAGTCGCTGTATTGATTAACTTTTTGAAAGCTATGAYGCTACATAAAAGGCTGCCTTCTCTAGCTTACTGGGAAAAAGTCACAATAGCTGTCTTAAAAATCACAAATCTAAAGTTTCAGGGATGAATCAATTTATTGCAGGTTAATAGAAGCATCACAGTGCTTGTTTYAGTAATGAGTTTTCACTAAAATAGAAAACTTTGTTTCTGTGCAGCTTAATGGACTCCAATGACCTAACCTGACCCAAAGGAAGCAAATGGAAGTTCCTTGTGTTGCCAGAAAGGACATTTCGGTTTGGGGGTTTAAATGCGTCAGCACCTCGGACAGCGCTCCTCATTGATCCGTCTCACTCCTCCCCAYGAGGGCGTGTTTTGAACGCTGTCCATGGTACTGACACCACTCCAGCTTCTGCTTCAGGATCCTTGCTTTGACCTCCGGGCTTTATTTGGATTTCCAGGTCATTTCTCGGGATCTGCGGGCGCCTGTTTGACTTGCAGGGCAGCATTAGAATCCCCGCTAAGTGCGTAGTAAATCAGGAAAACACTGAAGCGTTCTCTGGAGTTGGAACAAGTTATGTTTTTGTGGGATCAACTTGTTTACATTATGACTTGTCTCCATGAGTCGATGATGGCTTTGCGTTTTATTCACACCTAAAAAAAAAAGATTGTTTTTTTCCCCCCTCTGTAACTGCCTCGGATCATCTCAGCGATGGTTTCCCCCGCACGCCTGGCACTTTTCACCCTCTTCCTCCTGGCCGACGCGCTCGCTCATTTCAACCCGACATGCAGGCGTACCTGCCCGCACCGCCAAGTCTGCTGCGCGAGCGAAAACGGCACGGGCGTCACCTGTTGCCCGGACGTCAGCAGCTTTTACTCCAACATGGCCGTCGTCACGCGRAAACTTTCCGGAGTGCTGATCATGCTGCTGCTTTTCGCCACGGGGTACTTCTTCCAGAGGATGCTGTGCTCCAGATCAGGGCAGCCCGCTCCGCCGCAGCGCGGACCTCCACCCGTCACCACGTCACAGGAGCTGCTGATGGAGAGCTGCACACCGGACAGCCTGGACGAGCTGCCGCCTCCTCGGTTACCCTCGTACGACGAGTGCAAACTGCCCACTTATGAGGAGACGGTTCTGGGCGGAGGCCGGGAACGCGATGTGGCCACTGTGGGACAAGCGACATGAGGAGGACTTCGTTGAAATGAAGTTTGAGATCGGATAGAAAATCTCCAGAGGGCGTATTTACGCAAAAGCAGGTGTAACATGTTCTGCGTAATGTGACTAGGAGGCACTTTGGTGTTTTTACACCTCAAAGAAGAAACGTTTGTTGAAACTGTATCCTAAAACTTTTTCTGCCTTTGGGTCAAAATGACTCACGGGGGCTCAGTCTTAGCCATGTGGGTAATTTCAACTCAAGGACAACAGCAGAGTTATTTAAAAAATATGTCTAAAAACTCTCAAGTGTGGTGCTCGTGTGCGCAGTGTCTATAGGTAGCTATATTTGTTGTTGAAAATTGCAAAGTCTGTTAAATGAAAATAAATGACTAAATAATCACTACACTTTTGTTTTGCTACATGTGTGAAAAACAATGCACAACATCAGCAGGAGTCAAATAGAGAATTGAAAGTTACTGTTTTATGTGATGTTATTCATATAGTTTTTTTTCTATATGTTTTATTTTGTTTATATTTAAATGATTACCTGSACTGAATTATCGCACAAGTCACATAATCTAGCTAACAGCAAGTGGTACTGTAACTAATAAGAGGTTGATGTTTGCACCAAACTGTCTCTCTTTGCAAATGAAGTCAAACACTTAAAATATTTATCATGAGCTCTATCAAATGGTGCAGTTTTTAGGAGTTTACTCCAGTAACTTGTCAATATATAATGACATACAGYCCTGAAATGTGGAAATGCACTTAATGTAAATGCATTTTCTGAAAACTTGATTGGCCCACTACAGGCTGGCTAAGTAAGCAAATGAGGCAAAAAACAAATGCATGGAAGCTTAAATCAGACATTTAGGTGTGTGTCAGAATGAATTGTAAACCAAAACATGTAGGTTAGGTTTCCATCAGGGCCCAGGGCTCCCTTGCAAAAGAGATCTGTGATCTCATTGTGATTTGCTTGGTTAAAAATAGGCTAATGA